TTTCGTACCGATTAGATACATCTCTTCTCTGCTTTGTAGATAAGCTACACGGAAACGATATTCAAGATGTCGGGAAGTTCGTTGTCACCAAATGATTCGGCAATTATCGTGGGCATGATTCAAGTGTTCGGTTCGTGGTTATCTACCACATTGATGGAAAGAGCCGGTAGAAGACCGTTGTTTTTGATCTCCTGCTTGGGAATGGGCACGTGCCACTGTGTCCTCGGAGTGTTTTGTTACCTGCAAACACTCGGATACGACGTTAGCCAGTTCAGTTGGATCTCGATCATAGCCTTGTCAGTCTTCATGATCACGTACGGTTTGGGTATGGGGCCAGGTCCATACGTCATCTCCTCGGAAATACTTAGCAGAGATGTTTCGAGCTTGGTGGTAACGCTCGGGATGTTCACCGCTTGGGCTATAGCTTTCATCGTCGTTAAATTATTTCCAACCGTGGTCGATTTCCTGGGTATACACGGTTGTTTCTTTCTGCTCGGTACTTTTTGCGCGATCACTTTCGCGTTCATTTACATCCTTGTCCCAGAAACGAAGGGTTTGCCTCGTCAAGTAATTCTGGATCGACTTAACGGTGTATCTTCTTCATCAAACAGTACGCAATACGTCTCGTCGCAGGAGTTCAACGAAAAAGATGTCTCGCTAACCCGAACTAGTTTAAGAACATTGTGAATAACGAGCAAAACATCTTTCTTCTTTTTTTTTTTTTTTTTTACTATTCAGTCAGTCGAGGAATATTGTTTCAAAGTACCTGATCGTACGTAGTGAGCACACTTGTGCAGGAATATACGCGGGAAACGAAACGAATAAGAGAGAAACTGTCTGCCTGTTATGTAACTCGCGTTACATAAACTGCCAATGGAAAAGAAATTTCATCTAACATTACTATTTCATACATGTCGTATCTGTGACATATTTAAATATACTTAAAATATAACGATCTTATCTAGATCTTATTTGTATATTTCTCTTCAGTCGCTGGAACGATGTAATTTCCGAATGAACACGACAAGTCGTCCGATTAAAATTTGTGTAACGATTGGACGTTAACCATCGACACGGTTTTTATCACTCGTCGGTTAACCTTTGCCGTACATTCTTATTACCAAGTTTTCGCTTTTTAAACTTAATTGGTTGTCCATCATCGTCGCTATCGGCTACGTATTGCGTGATGATCTTTTCTTTGAACGTTCTTTGCACCGAGGGCAGCTCTGTTTTCTCAAAGACTGGCAGTTGCACTTGCGTCTGCTCTGGCAGTTGAAAATCCACCGGTTTCATTTCGCTGAAACAGAAGATATACATTCGAACGTTCCTTTTATATATATATATATATATATATATATA